AGTGCAGCGCGGCACCCTGCCCCGCGCGCGGGACCGCGGTGGAGGCCTTCCCGGCGTCTTCCGGCCCTGTCGCCGGCGTCTCCTCAGCTGCGGGCCGAGCGCTCCCGACCCTGTTCGCCTTTGTTTCCTGCAGGGTCTTTTTCCCGGGCAGCCATCCGGTCCGAGGCGTGCAGGTGATGAAGGTGGGGAAGCTGCAGCTGCACCAAGCCATGTTTCCCCAGGCCATGAAGAACCTGCGGCTGGTGAGTGCCGGGGGGGGGGGGGCGCACCGGCTGCGCCCGGCTGGTGCTGCGCCTCAGTCCGGTGGTGTCCCGTGGGTGTGCACACGCGCCCAAGGTGCACAGGTCCGCTGCGAAGGAGCCCTTGTTGCCCACGTGGACTGCGAGCCCTAGGTCTTGGCAAAGCTCTCTCCCGCCCTCGCCCACCCGGGGACGGCCCCCGGCCACCCACCGGGCTCCCCCCGCAGAGCGCGTCCCGCTCAGCGGAAGCGAGGCTCGGAGCCCCGCTCCGCAGGAGCCCGCGCGGCTCTTTGTGACCAGCTCAGGGCCGTGAGCAGGAACTGAGGCACATTTACACACTGGAAGCGCGTGGCTGGGAGGATTGGGGGGGGCTGGCTGGCGTTGGGATGAGTTCCTTGCTGAGGCAGGGGCTCAGCTCATATTCGCAGGGCGTCGCCTTTGCGGGAAGGGGCCTGCCCCCCCCCCGCACAGCGCCCACCCCACCTTCCCCCGCACAGACCCCCCCTCCCGTCACCGCGGTGCTCCGGAGCTCGGCTGGCCCCCGAGGGGTGGCCCGCGCAGGTGCACCGAGCGCCATGGCCGGTCTGCAGAGGGACTGTGCCGGGAGGGGAGGGCACGGCAGGCTGCGAGAAAACCAGCGAATACCTAAGGGAGCCTTAAAAATCAGCTCCCTCAATGCGCGGCCTCGTTCAAGGCTGCTCCTGACCGCTGCTGACATCAGCTTTCAGGCAACAGGAAGAGCTCTAGGGTTTCTGGGAGGTTCTCACCCTTTCCGTTCTCGTTCCCTTGACACCTTTAACAGACCGGGAGGTGCCTGGCGTTCCTCGCTGTGGGGCGTCCCTCGCCTGGTCGGTCTGGAGCGTTCCTCGCTGTGGGGTGTTCCTCGCCTGGTCGGTCTGGGGCGTTCCTCGCTGTGGGTGCCCCTCGCCTGGTCGGTCTGGGGCCTTCCTCGCTGTGGGGTGTTCCTCGCCTGGTCCGTCTCGGGTTTTCCTCGCTGTGGGCATCCCTCGCCTGGTCGGTCTGGGGCGTTCCTCGCTGTGGGGTGTTCCTCGCCTGGTCGGTCTGGGGTTTTCCTCGCTGTGGGTGTTCCTCGCCTGGTCCGTCTGGGGTTTTCCTCGCCTGGTCGGTCTGGGGTGTTCCTCGCTGTAGGCGTCCCTCGCCCGGTCGGTCTGGGGTTTTCCTCGCTGTGGGCATCCCTCGCCTGGTCGGTCTGGGGTTTTCCTCGCCGTGGGCGCCCCTCGCCTGGTCGGTCTGGGGTGTTCCTCGCCGTGGGCGCCCCTCGCCTGGTCGGTCTGGGGCATTCCTTGCCGTGGGCGCCCCTCGCCTGGTCGGTCTGGGGCGTTCCTTGCCGTGGGCGCCCCTCGCCCGGTCGGTCTGGGGTGTTCCTCGCTGTGGGCATCCCTCGCCTGGTCCGTCTGGGGTGTGCCTCGCTGTAGGCATCCCTTGCCTGGCCAGTCTGGGGTGTGCCTCGCTGTGGGGCATCCCTCTCCTCGCCTGGTCAGTCTGGGGTTTGCAGTCTGCAGACAGCGCGTGGGGTCTCCAGTTTCTACCTCAGTGACTAGAGGCAGCTTCCCCAGCCCGCCCGCCCAGGTCGGGGCCTGCACGACGCCTTCCAGAAGTCTCCAGGTGAATCGACAGGCTGTGTGGCGGGCTCCTCACGCCCACGGCTTGCTCGCATCTGCAGAGTGGGCTCAGGCGCGTTCTTCTGTGTGCAAAATGAAGGCGCTGCGGCGAGGAGACGAACGGGCAGAGCGGATCCACCCGATCAGCACGGCCGGCTAAGCGCCCTGTGCTTTGAATAGGACACAGACACTAACCCCCGCCCCCCAGCCCGCGGTCCTCCTCCCTCCCCCCCCCTCCCCGTCCTCCCCTCGCTGCTTCCGCAGAGGCGGTTTTGCAGTGCACTCGGTAGGCAGGGAGCCTTCAAGCCCCCCCCCCCCAAGTCCACACCAGAGAGCTGGGCGTGTATGGGAATCCCCTCTCCACGTGAGGGCCAGCCGCAGAGACGGGCCAGGCCCAGACCAGGCCTCACACCCGCCTGGGTGATGGAGCAGGGCTGGGTGCGGACGCCCGCAAGCCCCCCGGATGCTCCCGAGGGCCCTCACACCCTGTGACCTCGTCTCCCCTCCTGTAAGCCAGCCTCCCCTCTTCCAGAAACTTCCCTCGGCAATCTTCAGGGCATTTCCCCCAAAGAAGCACAGGCATGGAGCCTCACGGCTGCCAGATGGAGGGTGGGGTGGAGCAGAGCTTGCGGTCGTGAGGCCTGAGCTCCAACTGCAGCTTCCCCGGCCTCCTCGACCCCAGACCCGCGCGTCCGGCCAGGACACCGGGGTGTGGCACGAGGCCACGAGGCTGGCGCCAGGTGCTCGGGTCCAGCTGGCCGCGTACAGGGCGGTCTCCACGCGCGTGATTCTGCTTTTAGGAGGAGGCCACTGCCTGCTCTCTGGCATTGTGGGGGGGCGAGGCCGGGCGCATGGCATGCTTCCAGCTGAAAGGAGTGTGTAACCGGCGGCTGGTTCTGACCATCCCCCTCACAGGGCAAGCGTCCTGTGGGCAGCGCTGCTGGTGTAGGTGTGTGTCCACTGGGCGTGGGGATGAGGAATGGCTGTGGGTATCTCCTGGGGCGTCGAACAGAGGCACATGCCTGGGCACAATCCTGCCAGGTTCGTGCTTCGGGGATGGGTTTCCTGAAGGCTCTCGGAGCTGCACGGGGCCTCAGAAGCCTGGCTGCCCTCGCCTGTGCTGCCCTGGCTGAGAACCAGCCGCAGAGCAGCGTCCACCCGGCCAGGCGGTCTGAGGTGGCAGCCACTCCTGCACACGCCGGGCTGAGGGACTGGGCAGCCAGCAGGAGGACAGGAATGGATTCTTTGCCTCCTGAAAGGATGGAGACCCTGGAGATAATGGAATAAAATGGCGCGAAGAAGGTTTCCAGAGCCTGGTGAGGAGCAGAAACTGAGAAGCTTCAGAAACAGACGTCACAGGTACCATCAGGACCCAGGCTCTTGCAGAAGAAGAAGCCATGTGGCCAGCTCAGAGCCGCTCTCATTTCCACCTCGAGAAGCCCTGCCTGCTGCAGGCTCCGGGAGCCCAGCCCGGCCCCGCCCTGGCCTAGTGCTGGGCTGGCCTTGGTTATAGAAGTCGGGTCGCAAATCAACTGTCTTTCTGCTCAGAGGCTGGCTCTTTAGGCTGGAGATTCAAACTCCTTGCACTGTACTTTGTTTAATCCGGCCTCTTCCATGGTGAGGCTCTGTCTTTTCCCGGGTGGGAATAGGAATTCAAGCCGCTCCTTTTGTGATGTGCGGTTTTCAGCTGCTCCCTCACATCCAGCCGGCCGGGTGCAAGCACAGCCAGACAGGTCCCTGCCCCAGCCTGCTCCCGCTCCCGCCCCTCACAGTAGGTGATTAAAGCATCGGTGCTGTTTTTCCCATCTCTTGGTTTGCTCTAGGGATTCCTGACTCTGGGTCGTGTTCTTATTTAGGAGTCTGATGTGAGCCCTCGACACGCACAGGAAATAGACACGTGCACACTGGCTTGCAGAGCTGGTGGCGAAGGAGCTTCAGGGGCTGTTCTCGGCCCTGGAAACGTGCAGCGTCCCAGTCATGCGTGAGCAGGAGGAAGGAGCGGGAGGGAGGGTGTTATCATGAATGCTGCCTCATTCTCCTTCACATAAGAAGTAATAGCGTAGGATTGGGTTTTGAACAATAACAACACCCAAAAGAGACACTGTAAGGAAGAAAACGTGGACAGACTCCAGGTGTAGTGATTAAGTGTTCATAAAGAACATGAAGCAGAGTTTCCCTGCTAGGAAGTAGCAAGAAGGAGTCAGGGGTCCGACACTGGGCGGATGCTGCTCCCCATTCTACTGGATAGCTAACAAGGCTCGGGCGAAACTCAGCAGCTTAGAAATGTACACTCAAAGTGACTGTGTCTCAAGTGAAAAAGATCACACAAAGAGCCAAGAATATCCCAATTGTGAAAAAAAGCAATCACTGAATTATCTGACAACAATTTAAAATAGCTATTATAAAATGCTTAAATAGGCAATTACAAATACCTTCCAAGCAAATGAAAAATCAGAAAATCACGGTAAAGAAATAGAAAATAGCTGGATTCCAGTGGCTCACACCTGTGATCCTAACTAGAGGCTGAGATCTGAGGACCGAGATTCAAAGCTAGACTAGGCAGGAAAGCCCATGAGACTTTTTTCTTTTTTAAATTGTGAAAATACTGTACAGAGGGGTTTCAATTACATGGGCAAGATAATGAGTACATTCTTATCAAGCATTGTAGCCTCCTTTGTTTCCCCTTCCCATCCTCCCCCTACCCAACCCTCCATGAGACTCTTATCTCCAATTAACCACCAAAAAGGTGGAAGTGTGGCTCAAATAGTAGAGCACTAGGCTTGAACAAAAAAGTTCAAGAACAGCACCCAAGCCCTGAACTCATGCATCAAGACCAGCACAGAAAGGAAGGAAGGGAAGGAATAGAAGATACAAAGAAGCAAACAGGAATTGAAGATCCAGGAGACATACTAACTAAAATAGAGTCAGCAACAGAACAGAGGCTACCAAGGAACAAACTGGTGACCAGAAACCACCTGACCTGAAAAGAACTGAGAAGAGTACAATTAAATAGAGCCTCCAGAATCTGTACATCAGCGACAATCGATAAGGTTATTGTCCCAGAAGGAGAAGAGAAGCAGGTGGGTGGGAAGGTCTGAGAAAAACAATGTTGGAAGCATCAAATCTGAGAAGAGGAAATAAAATCATCTCATCACAGACGACCTGGTGCTGTATATAGAGCAAACACACACATACACTGTTAGAACTAAGAAATGAATCCACAAACTAGAATACAAAATCAACATTATCAGTCAGTTGTGTTTTTATATATTAGCAACAGACAATTCAAAATGAAATTAAAGAAATTATTCTATTGATAATAGCATCAAACAGAATAAAATACTAAGAATTAAAGAGATGGAATAAATATTTAAATAAAACCTCTAACGTTGAAAGGCCCAGCCTGAGTAACAAAGTGAGACCATATCTCAGAAACCAAATGGTACCTGCGGCTCACACCTGTAGTCCTAGGTTCTTGGGAGGCTGAGCTAGAAAGAGGATTTGAGGCTAGACCAGGCACAAAATCCACAAGACCTCATCTCCATAGAAGAGAAGCTGGTAGCAAAGGCCCGTTATTCCAGCCACTCTTGAGAAGCCTAAAGTAGGCCGAGCAAAGGTCAGCACACAGCTGGGCAGAGCCGCTCCTAAAGGTGTCCCTTGAAAACCAGGGCAGGAAGTGTGGCTCAGCAGC